TTTCAACATCTTTAAAACCGGTACAAAAGATAATTAGCTAACGTTAATTATTGCAATCAGTAAAACGTTCCACAATGAGAGCTTTTTATAAAATTAAATTACAACCGATTGACTTTTCTTTAAGAATCATTTTTTGAAACTGGACTGAAATTTGAGGCACCAATAACTACAATAGTATATTGTGGATATTTTAGCTCATGGCTGGCGTGAGTTGTTGAATTGACTAGCTCTTGGAAGTAATGAGGTAATCGTCAATAACTGATGATAAAGCATGCACTCAGCAGCGTTTCTCAATCACAGCATTCTCCCTAGAAGATTCACAATTTCATTGCACTTTTTATAGTTGGACGGAATTTCTCCACCCCCTTATTTGGAAAACAGGAAAAAGCCTCTCTGAATGATTTGCTAATTAACTCATCTTTGTTCCGTATCACGATCTAATTCAGTTATCATAAAGGGAACCTTTAGAACCAAAGTTGAATCTTAACCTGAAATTTTAATATCAGATTCATACTTCTGAAACAGATCTATCTGGCGAGATCAAAACTTTGAGGAATAATACAAAATGTTTGTTTGTTTTTTTACTTGTTCAAATAGATGTTTTACACAAATAAAATACACAGTTTACCAACCACAGATATCTCAGAAATAATCAGCATATGGTAAATGTAATATGCAGTATACATTGTTTTCAGTTTTCAGAAAAATCAATAGTGTCCCACGTATATTTGTCTTAGTGACGACCAGAATAAAATCTGATCTATCTGGTTATCGGAATTTCAAGACGTCAGTGGTGGAGGTGAACATTCGTTAACTTACAATCTGTTGCTTTCTATTTAAGGCAGTTTATCAGAAAGTTGATCTAGTAACTGAAAAAATGAACCAGTGTTTAATGTGTTTCTTTCCATATGTACTGAAACTTTATCTGATCGCTCCAAGTATAACTGATAATTATTTACTACGAAATTCCTTGTCAGAATGATCATACCCGTTCAGCTTCAAAAATTTGGGTGCGTCAGTAAATTTAAGCAAAGCAAAAACAAAACTACTTGCAGAATCAAATCCATAAATTTTATTTAACAACTCATTTGCTGCAAACAGCCTTAAAGTATAGAGGGTTACCATAATCAGCGAACAAATATTTGATACTGAGTGATGATTAATGATGAAATAGAAATCTGGTTCGAAACAGGATTTGAGCCAGAGGCCTCCAGGTTACCAGCCTGCTATTCTACCAATTTAGCTACGAAAGCCAACTGCTGAGCGGATTTTTATTTGACTTCAATCATTAAATGATTTTGCCTAACAGCCATGTGAATTCTTGACGACTGAGTCTCAGCCCACTGGCTGTTCAATCAGGTTTCATTCTCATCCAAATAGAGCTGAATTACAGAAGGGGATGATATTTATTCTCGGTGTGATTATCTGAGATGGCCGTGGTTTGGAAGTCTCGTGTTTTTGATACTGGGTGATGACTGAAGGTGAAATGAAAGCGTCTACTATAGAATGTTGCATGTGATGAGTTGTATTCCTCATACTTATACAATTGTAGTAGCTATAAACACGTTAATCTTTATAAAATGACAGGAAACAATACTCACGAAAAAGACTCATTTTAATATTGATGGGACTGCGTTAATCGTTTCGATAAAAATTTTCTAAATTTCGTGTCAGCAAAACCAGTCAGTGTTGCACCAACTCTGAATTCGAAAAACGATCTTACCCACATTTATTTTTTGATAGCTTTTTAATATTTGACATATAAAAAATAAGAGTTCTGAGATGATGTGCTCTCTTTTTCCGGATTCAGTGAATGCGTTATTTGAGATGACATCCTTAGACTGTACATGAGTTTCCCCTCCAAGTGTATTTTCGAGCTTCATCCAACTTGCTTACTTGAATGAAGATAGATTATGAAGTTTATTCATTTGAAACCAACCCTGCAAGTCAACAGGTCTCACAGTAGTCTTCTTTTCAGATCGAAACTACCTACGGTGGCAGCTGGAAACCATTAACAACTAAGTGTTCTTGTGTTTGACTTAACGTCAAGTCGAAGGTGTTTATTGCTTGGAACTTCGAAACTTGAATAACTCATCTGTTCATTTTACGATGAATGTAATGTTGTTATGAAAAATAATGTAAAGGATTTACTTTCCGACATAGAACTAACTGTGACAATAAGAAGAAACGTTAGTGAACTCTTTGTTTTTTCTCTATGATTCAGCAAACTGCCTTCGATACTAGAAAAATGAGTTTTTACTAGAGAAACCTTGTAGATATATCTAATTCCTGGAGTACTTGCAAAACATCGTTTAATCTGTTTAACTATTTGAATAAGCCGTGGTTCGGCGGACTTGTATTATTGAAATTAGGTGGTGACTGAAGGTGAAACAATAACCTGGGCGGTGGCAGGATATGAACCTGTGACATTTCTTCGGGTTACCAGCCTCGTGCTCTACTAAATGAGGTACAAGACCCAACTATGAACCTGACCTGAGTTAGTTTTGACAAATAATTTATTACTCGGGTATTCTAAGTATACTGATAATTCTCATATTTTGAAACTGTTTCGAATTCAGCTATCTTGTGCGTAAATTTGTAAAAATAATTCTACCATAAACTTTCAAGGGCATACTGTCAGTTGGAAGTATCACATGGTTAGATTGACATTGGTTAATTGAAAGTCATACTTTGTTGTGCTACTGAAAATATACAGATGCATAAAACATTTCAATTCAGTCGCAGCTTCTAACATGCTTCAGAACGTTCTCTAATGTAGTATCTATTTCCTTATAAAATTCAGCTTAGCATATTGTAGCTTTGGAGTATATGACGAAATATACTAAGGTCCTAAGTCATTTATGACTGTGAATAGACTTTTGTTGTACAGTGAGAGTCAGGAGTGAAGTGTATTCCATAGTTCTACGTCTATCCTCATCCTTCAATGTCTAAGTGACTGGAAATATTAGGAATAAAGAATTTGTAAGGCCACTAGCATTTGCTATCCAGATATAATTCTGTAATGTAATCTGTACAGCCGTTAATAGGTATTGTCTTTCATATGGTCAACATTTTGTTCTCCAAAATAACTTTTAGATTCATGAGCACCTATTAAATTCGATGGAGAACATTTATTTAAAACTTTGTTGCGAAGAAATTATAGTTTGAATTAATCCAAAGTATTTTATAGTTATTTATTGATGCAAGTAGTTTCCCGTTGTCATTCCTGATCAAATTGATCGACCTATTTTGGCGTATGGACTCCTATGTGGACACTTTGATATTGCCTGAAGATTCGGTATGATATGGTTAACTTGGTAGTGGCTTGGAATGGAATCTAAGATGCACATTTTATCTTATTTGACACTCGAACTGAGCAGTCATAGCTTTAAATACCAGAGTAATATACACTAGTCTGCTGAGAAGTGACAGCCACCTCTTGTGAAATAGATCTCAGTTGTTGTTGATACATACTTGTAATTTCACATTGTTGTACTTGAGGGGATTGATTGATTTACGTCTGATAGAAACTTTATCTTAGGACACTTTCTATCTCCCACGGAAATGTAGCTCGATATGGTGTGAAACAATTTATATTTCTGATTAAGTGGTCATAACGAGAAATAAGGGATGGTAATATTACATATCGTCATTCCACTTTGTTTAGTTAGTGTGTTTTCCACATTAGTCTGACTGAACTTATCACAGTGAATCTAACAAAATAAAATCAAAAGAATGGCACTTTACAAGCAGGTTGGAAGTTGATGAGGTACTTATCCACACAAAGATTCATAATCTTTAAACTCATTATTGTTTTGACTATCTGAGGGAAATAGCCGTGGTTTGCCAGACTAGTACCGATATTGAAGTGGAAATTTGGTAGGTAGGATTCGAACCAGCGACCACTAAGTTTCCGGTCCGGTGTTCTACTCACTCAGCTACAACACTCGACTGCTGATGAGATTTTTATTCCACTTCAATCATCAAGGGTCTTACCCGACTGAAGTATGAATTCGTGACGCGCTACTACAGTTCGATCGTACTCACACTGGCTGTCCAGTTGGGATTACTCATCCGAATCCATATTTATTTGAATTACAGATGAGGAGCATCATATTGGTGATTGAAGAGAGATAAAAATCTGGTCACCAGTCCGGTCTTGTAGCCCAGGTGGTTGAGCTGCAAGCTGGAAACTCAGTGGTCGCTGATTAAAATTTCACCGTGGCCCAAATTTTCATTTCATCTTCACCCAGAATCTTTATATTCGATTGGTTGGTTACCTCCTTCTTCATCAATATGCATTATCTAGTTCTCATATGACTTAGGTGTTCTAATTGATCTAATGCTGCTTCTCTAGGTAATGAATAACTTGAAAACGATATCATTGCCATACTTGATGGTCTTCAGTAAAACTAAAGTGAAAAACAGGTGTGCATTTAAAAGTGTGTAGATTTGAAAACAATAGGCGAACAATTAGATCCTGCACAACCACCCAAGTTTGGATAGACATCCTATGAGAAACGTAGAATCAATAAAGTTATTAAGGTTAGTAGTTAGATGTCACTTTACATTTTGTCATTCACGGGATGACAAAATCATCATATGGGTTTCGTCGTACAACTTTCAATGAATAACCGGAGTATGAGCAAGAAACGAAAAAAATTTCGGTGAAAATATTACTACTTGACGAACTTATTCCACTCAAAAATTAAAAGAATTAGCAAGAAATAAATGCTGAACCTTTAAGATAGGAGGATCTTCATTGAGTCAACTGATATTCAGAAGTAAATCGTTAGATTTCATTGCCTATCGATCAGTTCTATGTACACGCGGTCGATAGATCATTCAAGGGAGAGGAAAGTTGGTTTAAGTCATTATTTGGTTGATACTAGTTACTTTCAACAGAGTATCATATCTACTGTAACAAAACAACAATAAGTTGCTCTTGTCAAAACTCGACTGTCTTCTATTCACGACTGACCTTCATTCTAGCCAATCAGATTGAGGTTAAATTTGATTGGTTAGTTTCTTTAGGCCTGTCTAATTCAAACGAAGTTAGATCTGCAGATGCATGTAATTCACGTTTGATAACAGTTATGTGGATCATTTAATTGATATAACTAACCAGATAAAGTAAGTCTAAAATCTTCCTTGGAAACTATTTCAGTATTTGTACACCAAAGTGTATTTACTTCGTAACTTTAATTATCAGTGTAGGTGGCAGCAGACAATATTTTTTAACCCTGAAATTCTAGGAGTACAATGAACTATAATTTATGGATAGCATTCTGGTGTTTAGGGTTATCGTATAAGGGTTCAAATCTTAACAGGATTACCACCACTCAAAGGGATGCAGCCCCATTCAGTTGACGAGTACGGAGTCGGGCAGGATGCTTCCTGAATCTCGTCGTTATCCATCAACAAGTAAATAATACTTCGCTACAGGATTCAATTCGCTTAACTTGGCACTGTATTTGGCAACTAGCCAACTAATATGAACCATCTTCTAGTACAGAAACCTGTAAAAGGTTATGGTATTACTTCTAAAGTTATTTAACATACTTTCCAATCACTTATGCAGAAACGTGTGATAGCATATATATATATATATATATATATATATATATATATATATATATATATATATATATATATATATATGTTTCATGATATAAATTTTGGATTTTATCATTTCGAAAAGTTGCAAGTATGACCTAACAATTGAAGTTGACTATTCTGCTTCAAAATTCATCTGTATATTTTTTGAAGTTGTAAATCAAAGTCAGGCATAATGGTGATGATGACATTTTTACCCAACCACTTCTGTCGACAAATACCTGCATCTCTATTCAATATATGCATCAAAGATGGTTTGGATTAATTATTTGATACTACTGACCACAATGTCATGTTTATTGGAAGTGAAATTATGAAAAGTATGTGTTTCTTCTGTCAACCTCAATAATGTTTTTGTGGTATCATCTACCTTCTCTTTTCCTCGTTTGGGATTAAGTGTTATGTTCAACAGAATCCGCTTACTGAAAGTTCCTAGTCCCATAGTTATTTCTAGAAGAGAATATTCGGGAAATAATGAAAATCAAATAACACACTGGGGGCCTAGTGGACAACGCTTTAAGGTTTGAAGAGATGGGTACTGGGTTCCAATCCCAGTGGGAACATCATCACTCACCGAAATGCAGGTAAATCCAGCTGACAAATCCCCAATAGGACGAGAAGAACGTCTTGGAATCCACTATTAACCACCCCGAAGTAAATTACAATAACCAGGCAATGTTGAGGCATCTGCATGGGAGGTGATATGCCAATAGAGGTGGATCAGTTGGATTCGACATATCAATGAGAAATTGCAAGTATCAACACATGATAATTTTCAAAACTGAGTTTATTTGGAAACATAATTCTAACTAAGATCCATTTAAATTTTTAAAAGGGAAAAACTTTGAAAAATATAGTTCTAATTACATAGGATACCCATGGTAAATGTTAATTTCGCTTACATTTGACACAATTTTCATGTTTGTCTGAAGTCATTACTAAAGCGTACTTATTACTTGGAATGAATAATTCATTCTCTTGAGATACACTTCTATTTCAACCATGTAGAGCGGTGACTGAGTAGTTTAAGGAGATGACCAATAACATTGGGTTAGAGCTCCGCTTCATCTACCAAGGTTTGGGCAACTAGCCCTCACCAAGTAGGTGTGGGTCGCTGACTGCCATATGGATGTGTACAAGGTGGCTGAGTACGTTTCCTATTTCAACTCACTGCTTGATCAGAGGCATTGTTATTTGGCTACTAATAATTACAGTTAATCTTTAGCTTGCTAGCGCATACTTCGGTCACTGAAGACTAATTAATAACTTGTTTTAGTACTCTTTGTTGAGGAATTTAGGGTTTTAGCTATGCTAAACAACGAAAAATTTGTTCTTCCGAGAAATGGTTTGTGAAATATTCGTGTTGAACATAAATAGTAGTATGAAATATTTCAACTTTTTATCACCAATAAGAATTACTTTTTGTTCAAATTTCGGTTCTATGTCACTAAAACTATGGTTTGTAATGATCGCTTTGTGTCCTTGTTAAACTATTTCATCAATTCCATTTAGAGGTTTGTAGGGATTTATTCATTAATTTCAGGTTGGTATTCATCATAGACTGATGTCAGCTGAAGAAACATTGGAAACCTGTGGGCACTGCAGAGTTGTTTCGTCCTAGTATGGGATACCTCAGTGGTGCACACCCATGACCCAGTCTTGCCAGGGGTCGAACCCAGGGCATTCAGGTTCTTGGCCAGCACGTCGCGATTCAGCTATTAGGTTGGGATCCGGTGGTCTATATTTCCTACTTCTTTTGGTTCACGATGTAGTGTGACCTCTATCCAATACCGCCACTGAGTAACTTACATCATGTTCGACTTAGTTTTCCCTACGAGTCACGCCTTCTCATTAGAACTTCAGGGAGTCCCACCTTGAAGCAAGTCACTAATAAACGTTAGACAGTAATTTAATTCACTCAAAAGTCAACTAATTACCTTTGATAGAATGATATTTTACCAGGGATGACTTGGATCATTCTTTTACACTTCAGTTGCGGGAGTATTTTTCAGTAGATATCTGAATTCAAGCACACTATCACTAAAACTGCATTCATGTTTATGTTTGATCCTTATTTCAGTCAGTATTTCTTTAAGAGAAAAGGATTAGGATAACCATCAAAGCTGTCACAGATGTTTCTGGTGAAAACTAATAGTTGAAAAAAGGCAACTTGTAGATGGGCAGTTACAGGTCCTTGAGTCTTCAATAAGAAGCAAATATGATGAATAAATAAAACTTGTTGACTTATGAAATTAGATTTTTACTTACCCCAGAATGTGTTGATCTTCAACTGGATTTCTCTACATTTTTAACCTTTATAATATTTATATTGAAGTTAACATTTGTAAAGAGTCATCTAGGAACTCATAAATGAACCTGTAGTTTGTTGCATGACGACCTACACTGAACCATTATAATGGAATAAGTTTGGGTTGTTTTTCATCAATGCCCAAAAGTTAAATCCAAAATCCCAATTAATTTTACTTGGGAGTGCTTGGTGATACTAAGCTCATGTGTTGGGTTTTCAAGACAATAATGTTATATCCACTAGATTACTTACTGACGTAAACTGTCTATTAGGAATGAACAGCTATTCAATTGACCACCTCAAACATTTTGTACAAGTGTGTTGGTTGATATCATTATCAGTCATATTATCAGTGAAAATCAGCACCTTCATATTTACGTATGTTAATGCAGATAACTGGAACTGTTCACTATCAGTCGTTATTTAATGACTGTGAAATCCGATTGGTGCTTACACAGAAATAATTAACTGTACAAGTAGTTGGTACTTTGCTAAAAACTTGTTTATTTATTTAAGTAAATTAACAAATTTCAGTGCAGTTAAATCTAGAAATAATAATAAACAAACTTTCAGTATTGTTTCATAATTGCACCTTTCTATAAAGTAAAACAGGCAGTTGTTTTGTTTTTTGTCTGGATTTCCTTTCATTTCACTTCAGTAAATACACTTCATCAACTTACTGTATGGTAATACCGATACATGCAGATGGATAAGTAATCAATATTTCCCTTGTGAATCGGAGCAAAAAATCAAAATAACTCCTTCCTTTAACTAATTGTAATTTTAACGTATGGACAAAAGAGGTAGGCGCTGCATTCTTGCATGTATTCACTCTTGTCTGGGCAGAAACATTTACTGAACTGCATGAGTCATTTCTTAATCATCAAATCTATAAATAACACAAAAACTACCTTCACTACTTGTTTAGTTTAGGCTTTTCAGTGGTTTGTTCCCTAAGCTGGCTGACTCCAGCTCACTGGAGAAGAGCAGTTTTTGAGCCATTGCGATGACTCATGTGTATAAAATTATTTCAGTTAACGAAGTGATTCAGTCACTAAGATGGAAAAAGTAATTTTATTCATGGGGTAGTAAATAACTTTATTAATAATTGGTAGGTCGAAGGATGGTTAACTGTGCTTGTCAGGCATTGTTATCTCTTCACTTATCATGATACCTTGTTCACATGTGTACATAAGTGATTGTGTGTGTTGTCCTCTCATGCCCACATGCCTAAGTCGGTTGTAGGCTCATTCAAAGGTAGTTTGCATTTCAAAATTAGATGGGATATTGTGAAGGTCAATTCAGAGCACCAATAACTGCGGCTGACTCGAAAAACCACCCTAACAGCGACTGAAATAATCAATTACTTTTCCCTATTTGGGTTAGAAAGTTGGTTTTGAATAAAATAGACAAACCTGACTGGCCATTCCAGTAGTTATGTTAGTGGCGTTTAAAGAAGTAACTCTAAAGGCCATCCTCATAACTACTGAGGTAAGGTTCCTTAATTTATGGAAAAATTTAGTTTCCCAGTCGAAATATAGAAACCGGATTGGTTATTTTAGCTACTTCTTTAAAGTTACTCATAATTAATCTCATTTTTTGGAGAGACCTTATAGGTCACTCTAGCAACTGCTGAGACAAACAAATACGTCTCTCTACTTTATAAAAAGTGGCCGGAATACCGAAACCTGATTGCTTATTTTAGCACTTGAAGTAATATAATATGAGTTAACATAATGCTAAGGCTCATCTTTCGAAATAAGTGATACGCAATATGTGATCATCATTATCGTTTGTAATATTATCTTCAAGAGAGTCTTTGGTTCAGTTGGCTTGACAATGGAAAATCATATGATTTTAAACAATAGAATATTCCCATTTCATATATTAAAAGTCATATAAGAACGAATGGATAATCAAACATCATTCATAAGTTCTTAACTCTTATCTTTCAGTTTCATTCTTGACTTATCTCCAAGTCTGCAACCTGAATGTGTTCAGATGCCTACATTTATCATCACACAACTTGTATGAAATTATTTCATTTGGAACTTCATCTGATATCTGAAATTAGCATTGTATACTCATTCACTGTATTTTCAAGGTAAACTGTGTAGAAAAGGTCTATTCAAAAATAATTCCTATATTGCGCATACAGGAATGATAGGAGGGATACATTGTTCACCTTTTCTTCCTCAAATCTGAACTT